TTGTTCAAATTCATTGGTCTCTTTAACTTCTTCACAGTACAGTTCGGGTTTCTTAGTTGAGCATTCATTGGCCAATAAAACCTAAGTTTTGGTGATTAATGGATAGACTAATCAGGTTGTAGCTCAATCCATATAAGTTTTTTTTTTTTTTTTTTTTAAACAGAATTGATAAGTAAGGTGTGCATGTCTCGCAACTTAGAGTTCATGGTTTGAATTCCATTCCCCACAATATATAAAAAAGGATAAATAAAGGTTTACAAGGCACATAATCTATCAAGCCTATTACATAATTAACTGGAATAAATGGTTAAATGTCGATGATTATGCTTATTGAGACAGGGAACCATTTTTCCTATCTTTGACTCATCTCATTCTATACAAAGTATTATGGGATTATAATAAGATCCTTGCACTGCGCAAAGAAACCGGCTCTTAAATCTTTCTTCTAATTTTAAACCAAGCATTTACCTTGAAAATAACAAAATGGAAGATTGCCAGGATTGAACGTTTGGCGGCTTTGATTTTTCCATTTCACCGGATTTCCCATCTTCTTTTCTTCCAAGCCCCATCCCATGCTTTTCGACTAAGCTTCTTCCTCTACCCATGCCCACCAATTTCTGCTTCATTTTTATCTTGTTCCTTCTTTTCTTTCCCCGTTTTTGGTCATTTTCTTTTTTGCATAGGAGTTTAGGTTTTATTTCAGATAATCATAATTAATGTTAATAATTTTACAATTTGGTCGTATCACTGACGGCTTAGGTATCTTGGCAGTGACAAAACTATATGGTCAAAGGCAATGCAAGAGTGCATGCAGCTTTTAGGGAATTTGTGTACCAAAGAAACCCTTTTTAGGGGATTCGTTGATTAATATCAAAGTTAATGGTGTTCATAAACATGAATATATGGAGATCTATCTCTTCCCCAACCCCAAATAAACACTTAAGGTCACATTTTCATTAATTATTATTTTGTTTATGTAATTTTTATTGATAAAATTCAAAAACATCTACAAGAAAAAAAGTGAATAGTAAGTTCTCAGTTTATCAAGTACTTCAGTTTTTTGATATTATTCATGTTTCATAAGTTTAAATTTTTTATAAAAAAAAACTTATATTTTTAAACATTTATTTAACTTTAAAAAGATCTTGAACAATAAAAAATCAAAATTTTCAAATTCAAATTGTTTATAAACTTCTATTTTACTCATTATTCCTTATATTTAAAAGTAACTTTTAAATTTTTCTTTCAATAAAAATTTAAACTTATCACTTATGAACAGTATAAAAAAAACAAAAGTTCTATCAAGCTGCACCAAACAAGTCCAAAATCTTCACTCCAAAATCTAAAATCTCCTTGGACTTTGATAAAATACAATTTGCCAATTACATTTGAATGAGTTCTTAAGATCCCAAAAAATACAAAAAAAAGTTACTTTAACTTTTCATGGACACTTAGATATAAAAGAGGCCTATTTCGTAGACCTAGGCATTTTTCATCAGCACTTTGGACTGGGGCTTTTAACTCAGCCGAATCCAAGTTTTTGTATCTATCAAGAGACCCGTTCAAGCTACCGAGGTAAGATCAATACTCCGAATATAATTTTCTGCACTTGGGGTGTTTGGTTTACTTTTGAAGAAAATGCCTCCTTAAATGATTTTTAAGGATATTTTAGTATTTACAATACTTTCAAACTATAATAAATAATGGACAAAAATGACATTTGTCCTTTTCAATCACTAAACTTTTCTTTCCAACCTTGTAAAAAAAAATTCTACATCTTTCTCTCTATTAAGCTCACTTAACAACCTTACAAACCTTTGTACAGTATTATTTTTTATTTTCATACAATATTTTTTTAATTACTTTCTTAATAAAATTAACCTCTACCCAAGCAGATCATTAACTCATTGTGGGCAGATTTATAGGATATATCACCAAGAAGCCTGCCCCGCTTCATTGTGTTATGGCTATAACAAGCATTTGTTAATCAAGTTTTTGCTTCCTGATGACTGTTTTCAAGATGAATTCGATTGTAGTGACAATGAGAGATGTAAAAATAATATTTTACACCAAAAGCTAAATCTTAAAAACAGCAAACAGAGAACTGATCCAATAACAAAAAGTTAGTCTTCCATAAATAAAAGCCGGACCATCAAATATCAAAGCAACATACCAATGTATAAGTTGATCAAAACATTCAAGACAAAGAAATAAGCTTATCCCATCAACTATAAATCATGGTTCACCATAGAACATAATAGCCACTACTAACATCCTTCAACAGGTACGGAGGTTACAATACAAGAACTCATTCCTTACTGTTGTCGGACTTCAACTTTCTTCTTCAGCCAAAGCCTGTCCAATGCACTGTCTGCATCACCCTGCAGTCACACAACATATCACCAAACTAATTTCTGTATCCTATGATAACATTCATTCACAAGAGAAAAACCATAGGGCATGTTAATAAAGAAAACAACTTCCCCATCACCGACCATATTGGAATGTAGGAATCAAAACTTGTAAAGGGAACAGTACACAAATGCATCCAGCAGATGAGGAATTGTATCTTGAATAAACTAACAAATTTAATATATGAAATTAAATGCATCAAAAGTATAAACACAATAACAAGCACCCCAGAAGCGATTAGACATATGGGTTTTCAACATAAAACATGGTAAAACCAGAAACCACTGGAGAAATCAGAAAACTGGAACTTCAAAATCAGGTAAATATAATGCAAGTTTCCATATGCGAACCTGGGCTCTGACTTTCCCACACAGAGCAAAAGTGGAGAAGTGACCATTATAAATGCCATACTCATCCAAATGGCCAATGTTAATCTGCACAGCCGCGTGATCCTTTGAGGTGATGAGCCTGTTCGTGGCGGAACTGCAGCAAACGCAAATCATTGATAAGATTTCCTACTTGATTAAGAGGAAAGAAAAGAAAAAGCAAGAAGAGTCAAGAAGCATACCATTTCCTGGGGATGTAGAGATCCATGTTCTGTCCCTCTTCGTTCTGCATCTTGGCGGCGGAGTGGAGGAGAGACGTCCTAGGGTTTGTCGACGGCTGTTAGCTAGGGTTTTGCCTAGGATGCGAATGAAATTTGGAAGGGGGAGAGAGAGCTTTATAGAGGCTAGGATTTTGGGTTTTCAACTGGGCCGGGGAAAATTCTTGGGTTGGGTCTGTTAGGCAAACCTTTGAAGTTGGGATTCTACTTTCTAGATTGGATATTTGGATTGCTGCTGTGTTCCCTAATCCCTAGTCCCCAACCGGTTTTTAGTTTGTGAATACTACCATGAAAATAGCTCCCCTGGGCTCATGCGGTTATGCTCTGTTTGTTAAAAAAAAAAAAAAATTTTGGATTAGAAGTTCATATGTTACTGATCATAAATACTTATTGTTTGTAGTGTAAAATATTTAATTTGTTTAATTAAATCAAACAGTTTTTTTCTCAAATATATATATATATATTTATTGTCAAGGAGTTTTTAAATCAATTTCTCTTGAAATTAATCTTTTTTCAAATAATCTTAAAGTGCACTCTTTATATTAACTTATTACGTTTAAGAAATTTGTTTCTTTGAGTATTATCTCCAAAACTTAAACTACAAAATAGAATTGTTTACCATGGATCCGACCTTGGGATTATCCAACAATTGTTTTCTAAAT